CCGAAGTTAATAGCCTCGGAGACTATCGCGTCTTCGTCGGCACTCACCTTCGTTGGGCCAGTCTCAGACTGCGGAACCTCTTTGGCCTCACCCCCGCAGGCGTGGGATTTCGATGCTTCCTGGCTCCTGGGAACAGATTTTGATCTTCAAGCTTTGAACACCAGCATATCTGCGGCCATTTCTGAATGGGGCTATCCTGCAACAGAGCCGATCAACTGCCAAGCAGACCCGAGCTCTTTGCCTTGGCCAGAGCCTCGCCATGATGACAACATTGCCGAGCAAACAGTGCAGCAGCTATGGGTGACCCACCTTGCTCAAGAATCTACAACATTGCCATCCATCGAGGCAAACCAGAACCACCTTGCTCAAGAATCTACAACATTGCCATCCATCGAGGCAAACCAGAACCATGGCCGTGTGGATGGCACTTATCGAGAAGATCTGTCTACCAGACTCCGGCCTCGAGAGCATCCAATCTTTCTTCCCTCGACGGACTTCTTGGTAATAGTAACTCATATATGATCATCATAACATACACAACTATGCCAGCGACTGACGAAGCATATTACAGAATCTTTGCATTCGACTCTTCTTTGAGAGATTTAACCCCGTTTTCCCGCTAGTACATGCACCGACTTTTCGCCCCCAGTCCGAAAATGCGTACTTGCTACTCTCTATCAGTTCTATTGGCAGTCTTTTTATTGGCAATGCTCGAGCTGCGAAACAAGGTACCATGATCTTCGAGCGCCTCAATAAGGTCGTTTTGGCTACTGTATGTCTGACCGCTTCATATCAACTGGATGAAGCGATGCTAACAGATGCAGTGGGAGTCTTACTTGGCTCGTGGGGAACGTGAGAGATTGTGCCTCACTCAATCCTCACTGCTGGGCCAGACCTTTGGGCTTCTCTCGAATGTAGTTGCATCCACACTTGGCTATAGCCCTCGTTGCTAATTGCATCTCTAGAACCCAAAAGATTTGACAATTGTTGATGCCTTTCACGGAACTGTGATTTCGGTACGTGTAGTCTCCGCAATTACCCATATCGGCTTCTCACCATGCTAGTGGGCACGAAAAAACAATGCAGTTCTTGAGACAAGCCCTATCCCTGATGTCTCCCAGCAATCAGGATCTCAACTAGACCATACTTGGAAAAAGTGGATACTTGCGGAGGAAAGAATACGGTAAGTTTAGTCGTTTTTCGAGTCTGAAGAGCCGAAACAGTGCTAAGAGCTACCCAAGGGTTTCCCTTGGTCTTTACATCCACGATGTCATACTCTGTAGTAAGTTATTTATGGCACCATACATTGAGTGTCCAAGAACTGAAAAGTGAGGCTTGTTCCATCACGAGCCAATGTTGCGCCCAAATCCGGACAGTATCCCGCACTGTTCTTCAGAGGAGCTATTTCATGCCCCCAATGCTTCTCGCTGGAAATCTCTCGTACTCAAGACAGCAATCACCATACAGTCAAGATCAGGCTCACAGACCGTAGTTACGAATCATCAGAGGCCAGAAGGCCTGTTTTATGGTTACGCCAAACTTGCTTGCATCAGCGCGTCTATCTTGGAGGCTCGGAAACTGAATTCCCTGGACGAAATCTCTACAGATCAGTTCCGTAGGTCCCTATTGGAGTGGCTTGACCATCACGATGATGCGATCATCAAGACACATGATTCATTTTGCCTCTTGATTCTTTGGCACTTTGCCTTCATAGCATTGTATGTCGATATGAACTTTTTGGAGAGATCAGTAGGAAGGGAAGGAATGAATGGGGTGACGGGGGCTTCGGACGACTCACAGAGGAGGCTAAATGACCACGATTTACAAAAAGGCGCCATGCACGCAATCTGCATTTTGCGGCTTGCCGAGAAGCTGCGGTTAAACGTGGAACCGGCTATACACGTGCCGCACATTCTGTTTGGAGCCGGTCTTGTTATATTCTGCTGCTGCAGGGCAAGCAATATTCCACGTGAGGATTTATCTGGCAAGTCAGAAATCATATCAGCAGAGCTTCATGCCGTGGACTATGTCGCCTGCCAAATAGCAGGTTCGCCCTTTCACAATATGGGACAATCTGAGACGATTGAGATATCGGCTGTATATCGTGTTATTGATGTATTGAACCGTGTAGGGCACTGGGAGCGCTCACGAAAGCATGCAGCGATCTTAGATTACTTAATGGCAGCGTGGTGCCCTGTTACCTGATCAACGACAATACAGACGATAGCTAGTTCAGTTCTGCATTATGATTCATAACATCGAATACAAGAAAAACTTGAGGACTACTTACAGCGGAGACTTTGAATGAGTCTCTGCGCAATCAATAGTGTTTCACTGGTTAACTTTTTGAGCGGCTCACCAAGTTCTGCCTCAAAGGCAGCACGGTTGTAGATTTGGCATTAGCGTGGGCAACCGCGTGGGCGAACAACTCATCGATTAAACAACAATTCCAGTATAAGATCTATCATATGTTCGTGCCCTTCCTCCTTTGACCAATTCTGGAGTATCTGACTACCTCCACTGGAGAAATTAAAGGCACCCGACCCTTTGGTACTTAGCCCATGCCAGGAGAAAGGGGTTAGTTGCAGTCTTGTAGCTGCCCCAAGTACGAACAGTAGGAACACTATGCATCCGTGCTATACACTTCCGTTATATTGTCCAAAGCCCTGTGTCATACTCAAAGTTGAGATCGGCGCCATACTCTCACAACACTCGCATTACATCTTCACATCTTCGCATGACGAAGTTGTTCACGAAACTCAACCAGTGAGAAGTTGAAGACACGCCATTCAGTGGGGTGTCGCTTCTATAGTAAATGTCGAGAAGACTACTTCGAGCCCTAAAGAACAGATCATATATTGATACAGGGTAGCAGGCCAATTCGTAATAATACCAGTCTGAGTTCTACTACTACAGTCTGAGGAACCCTCCAAGCCTTATATAGGACAGGACCCCTGTCCGCCAACTCAATATTCACGCCCTTATTGTCGGAGTATATCTACATTCCCAGCAGTAGTAGCCCAGGCTATGCTGTCGAATGGTATGGCGAAGACCCTAGCGAGAACCCAAATACGCAACCCCTTCATTTCACAACGACGACACAAGCACAAATGTATTTTGCTGACAGCAAGCCTGCAAATGTCCCTGAAGTTTTCTGGGTTCGAGTTCGTACACAATACTTAGCCCCCAGGACTGGTATAATCCACCTGGGACTCTGCGTGATTGGTATCGGGCGGCTTTATGTAGATGGTAAAGAGTTTATAGACCTATGGACAAGCCAGCCAAAGAAGACTTTGGACACGCCTATGTTCAATCAAGCCAGCATGGAGAAGACAACCGACCTAAAGGTAGAGAAGGGAAAGACATATCAAATCACAGCCTTGGTAAGGAATCACGGCACTGTAGCTGGAGTAGGAGCCCTTAGTGTTGGAGGACTTCGCATTGGCTGCTGCGACAAGATTGACGCAGCTAAAGCCCTTCAAGATGCCGTACAGATGGCCAAGGAGGTTGATGTGCCAATCGTCATTGCCGGTCTCAACGCCGACAATGAGACAGAAGCTTCCGATAGGAAAGACTTGGAATTGCCACCTGGTCTTAACGAGCTGATCGAAAAGGTCGTAGAGGCCAACCCAAGAGCAGTGAGTACAATATGGATACTGGAATTGCAACTAGCTAATCACTTCACTCCTTTTAGGTTGTCGTGACTCAAGCAGGGTGTCCAATCACCATGCCCTGGATCAGCAAAGCGTCGACGCTGGTACATGCTTGGTTTGGAGGCCAGGAAACCGGCAATGCCATTGCAGACGTGCTCTTTGGTCAACATAATCCTAGCGGGCGTTTGTCCGTAACGTCCCCAAAGCGGCTGGAGGACACCCCAGCCTTCTTGACATTTGGAAAAGGAAGCCGTGAAATCCTCTATGGTGAAGGGATATTCATCGGCTACAGATACTATGAGAAGCTACACAACGACCCTTATTCTATTTCGGCTATGGCCTCTCCTACACATCATTCGAATATTCAAACCTCCGAGTTCCGATTGAAGTACAGTTTGACGATGGCGCGAATAAAGATTTCCGTGTCTCAGTTGAGGTCGAGAATACAGGGGCCAGGGATGGTTTCGAGATAGTTCAGGTGTACGTTCAAGATGTTGAATGTGCACAGTCCCGGCCTCGCAAAGAGCTAAAAGGGTTTACAAAGGTTTGGATCGAGAAAGGCGCCAAAGTCACTGCCAGTGTTGAGCTAGATAAACATGCCCTCTCTTACTGGGATGAAGAAGCGGAGAGATGGCATGCCGAAAAAGGCTTTTTCAAGATAATCATTGCTCGGAGCGCTGACCCCAAAGACGAGATATTAGAGAAAGAGTTTGAGCTCGTTAACGATGTATTTTGGTCTGGTGTATAGAATTAAATGTAAACTAGGTATCCGTCAAGTCTTAAAGCTCAGCCTCTGCGATATCTTCCTAGGGGTACGGCCTCCTCCGGGGCCACGCTATTGACAATATGTGGACAGAGGTAAGTCTGCAATCAATGGGTAAGTCAAAGAAGTACGAGAACTGTATCAGCTATATGTAGTTAGCTAATAAAAAGCTACTAAATATATTATAGACACCCCAGGTTCCGACAACAAAGCCCAGACAGTGGTGTCATCCGCAACGGAACCATTGAAAACTGAAGAGAAGCAGCCAAGGCTAAATTATCAGATCCACCCGCTCATGAAAAGCTTTCTACTTACCGTCCATAAGAAAGCTTGAGCTACTTATAAGAAAGTATATAGCTAAGCTAGGCTAAATAAACCCTAAGTTATCCTGAGTTATTCCAATTATTGCCGAATTAACCACTGAGCAAAGTGGCGACAAGTTGGGACGGCGACTAGGGCAGGCGTGTGCAACTTCAGAATCATGCAACAACATGTGTCACTCGTTACATACACACATGAATACCTTTGGTGCATATGTAGGAATTGTTAGATTCAAGTACAACGGAATTCCAATGTTACCAGCATCAGTCTAAGAACTCCACTGGGACGTCCGGACCCCATACAGCGAGTGATTCGTTGCCAGCCGGGCCATAACCAATTGGACTTTGATCATTCACGAGGTCGCCGTCGGCATAATGTTCGATCATATTGCGATCGACATCCCACCAATAATCAAATACCTGTGAACCTAATATGTGTCGTCCCACGCCCCATACTGAGTCGTAAGCCTTTTGAGCCAGCCACTGATGGCCTAGCATCTGGGTGTCGAAGTCATGAACCTCAAACGAGCTGTGATGCACGTGGCTGGTCTTGCTTGTGCTCATGAAGAATGTATGATGATCAACGAGGTCCTGGCCACGGTCGATGTGGGCAAAAATGGCAACGTCCTTCTTGGTGCCATCAGGTAAGGTGATATATAGGAAGTCGGTTGGAACGAGGTTGAATGTTTTCAGATAAAAGTCAGACTGTTTCTGAAACTCTTGCACGCACAAACCGTAGTGCCCGAGCTGTAAAAAATGTCGAATTCTTGTATTAGCCACAACACAGCTAGGATCCTAGCAAGATTTCATCTCACCTTGTGCACGGCAGCCGGTCCGGGTTGAAATCTTAAAAACTCTCGAACGCGGGGCTTGTCATTCTCATAATTGATCGTAATCTTCTGCGGTGGATCTTTGGCGGGTACTGGCTCTTGGCCATGGAGCAAGTTTATTGGGAAGCCTTCTGGATCGAACACCGTCACCACAGAGCCACCTCCGGGAGCATTAGACAGTTCTTTGATAGTAGCACCGTCTCCCAGCTGGCATGCCCTTTCAAGGTCCTCAACAGATTCGACAACGTAAGTGCCGCCGAGAAACTTTTTCGGGCCTTTTGCAACGTAGTCTAGGATAGCGCAATGAGCAATCTCGATCCTGCACCGCATAATACAGCAGAAAGGGGTGATATGCCAAGAGACTTACAGACGTACGGGTCAATTCCGTATCCACGATACCAGACCTCGGTGTCAGTCCGCTTGGCCACTGTCATGCCGAAATCTAGCGTGGTCTGGTTAGCCACACACAGTTCCTTTCAAACCGGCGTTCTTATATACACCTACCTAATAAGAACTCTGTAATCTTGTCCAAGTCTGGATGTTGGTAGCGCATGTGGCTCAATTTCACTAATTTGATCTGGTTGGAGGTGTCTATCCCGGCTTGCGCTCGCCAGTCAGCCAAGCTCTTGTGCTCAGGCCCCACTGCAAGGGAGTCTGGCACTGTAGTGCCGTGGTTCGGCTTCGGCGTCGAGGTGGCCATATCTTCTTTGAGCAGGATCGATCTTAGGATTCTAAATCTTTGAGACGGCCAGCTGTGTTTCTTTAACAACCCCCCGCGCGAGTTGGAAGTTGGGTCAGGGAACATCGCGGGGCACAAATCTGGAGTGCACCGTCCCGCGTGGCGACGCAGGCCCACTAGCTACAAATTCTTGGCGGCTATGGCTGTGGCGGGACGGGAGACTACTATGTAATAAGAGCCGCGATTTAGGACCGTTGCTTTGCATACGAAGAGGTTCGTAAACCTTCTAGATACTTGACATTCTCGAAAGCTAGCAGGGATAAAACAAGTCAAGTTCAGTCGATCACACAGGGCAAGAATGACTTCTTGGACACATTTAATTCGCTTTGTTGCAAAGGAGGACCAAATCATTCACTTGGGGCAGCCAGTCGACACTACCAGGGATGTTGGGCTAGACATGGTGAATAATGTCGAGGTCAAAGCTTACTTGATCAACGGGACAATCTTTAGCGGAACTGTGACATCCGCTATCTACACCGTCGACAAGGTGCGCTGAGCAAAGCAGGTTTCTTGACACGCAACTTTCCGAGACTAATCAACTTGTTGAAGCTCCTGTCACCAGTATCGCAAGCAGACTGTGGCTACATCCGTTGCTTGGGGCTGAATTATACCGACCATGCGAGCGAGGGGGGCTTCCCGCTCCCGAAGGCCCCGATCTTGTTTACGAAACCTCGGACAGCCCTGGCCGATCCGTATCCGGCAGCCATCAATATTCCCAAGTGCGCACAAGATGGGACCAGTGACTATGAAGGCGAGCTTTGTGCTGTGATAGGGAGATCTGGGCGTGACATCCCTGAGGATGATGCTCTGGACTACGTATTAGGATACACCGCGTCCAACGATATATCTGCTCGACAGTTGCAATTATTGACAGCACAGTGGTGCTTCTCAAAAGGACTCGACGGCAGTTGCCCAATAGGTACGCAATCCTCAAAAGTTCTCTACCATTACTCCTCTCATCTTAAACCATATCCTAGGTCCTGTGCTTGTATCGCCTAAAGTGATTCCTGATCCGCAGGCTCTCGGCCTCAGGACACTCTACAACGGAAAAGTGGTGCAGGACGGCCACACAAGCAACATGATATTCAATTTGCGGCAGCAGATCTCATACCTGTCCCAAGGTACTACGTTAGAAGCAGGTTCGATCTTTTTGACCGGGACTCCTGCTGGCATTGGCTACTTCAGGCAGCCGCGGATTGTTCTTGAGGATGGGGACGACGTCCGCGTGGAAATCGAAAAGATTGGGACACTCATCAATAATGTTCGGCACGATTTTCTGTAGACCTGACTAGAAGCTATTTTTTGAATACTAGAAAATATGGCTTTTATAAATGCTTGAAACATTATGGGTTTACACCCCCTGTAGTCCCAGTTGAAATCCTTGCCGCATAGCATTTCGGTTCGGGGAAAACTTACGTGTGTCGATCCCGAGACAGGTCGGTCGCTCGCTGGCTACTACTGACTTCCGACAGACGCAGCCACCGGAACGTAGAAGCAAGAATACTCGTGCATGTGCCCGCAAACCGCCAAGGCCGGAATTCTGGTCAGTCCCCACCATTGATCAGCATGATTGATACACAACTTGCCTGCAAAGTCCGGGGAAATCTGAGGGACCATGTCCCGCAGGTCCCGCAAGCCCCACAAGTCATACATGCGGGACCAAGCTGGACCTTCCTAAGGCTTTCAGGATGCTAGTCATGTGCAGAGATATGCTATCCAAAGGTCCGTAAACATAAGACCACTGCGCGATTCTCTGAGGACAGCGCATTCTGCCGACAATACAGGCCCGTAGCATCCGCAAGCAAAGTGATGATGGACTATGAAACTACTGACGTGGTTATATGCGGCTGCGGTCCAACTGGGGCAATGCTGGCAGCTCTACTAGGGCAGCAAGGCACGCGAAACATCGTCATAGAGAAGGAGAAGGAGATTACAACGGATCCAAGAGGCATTGCCCTTGATGAAGATGGGATTCGAGCCATACAAGGCATTGGCAAGTATGACGATATATACTCGAAAATTGGGACATGCAAGTCACGACCCACCTATATTGAACGACTACCAGTCGCTCTAACACGCCAATAGGTATGGGATACTTCAATTTCATCGGCGGAATTCATCACGATTTGACCAGAAAGCCATTCATGAGAATGAACTACTACACGGTTAGGCTGACATCATTTCTGCCAATCTCTAGCTAACTTGGAACAGACGGAGGGTGGGACAGGACATGTCGGGTTCATCTGCCATAAACAACCTGCCTTAGAGTCATCACTACGATCTGCTGTCAAGAAATGTGCGTCATCGGAGATCCGTGTAGGCATGGAGCTGTGCTCTATCAAGGAAGACGCAGACTGGGTCTATGTTGAATATCATGATGCAAGCGGTTGCAAATACAACGTCAGGGCAAGATTTTTAGTCGGTGCAGATGGTAAAACAGGATTTACTCGCAAGAATTACCTCGAACCTAAAGGAATCCAAATGGAGAAAGTTACTAAGTACGAGATTCCAGACAAAAGGCCCTCAACATTGCAGAATACGACTAAAGCTTATTTAGGACGTCATACGAGGAGACATGGGTTGCGCTCAATTGGAAAATATCCCTTCCTACGCCCAAGTCACACCCCAATTTTCCTCTCTGGGAGAAGGGATATACCCCTGAGGAGGTCTACGACCTATTCTTCCCAAAGGACTTTCGTTTCTTGTGCAATCCTCGTCGTCCCGCTGTCTGTGGCCGATTTGGCCTGTTTGAAGATAGGCTTTGGCGATTCGAGTTCGTCATTCAAAAGGGCGAAAATCCAGATGAGATGGCAGTGCCAGACATGATAAGACGAGTCGTACATCCGTACATCACTCATCCTGCATCAAAATACGAGTAAGTCTGACACGGATGTCTGAGTTTAAAGCCCAGTCAATTTGGCTCACGATTTGCTAGCCTTACAAAAGATGTTACCTACCCTGAGGACTGTATCACTGTCCTCCGGTCGAGGCCATTCAAATTCATGGCCAGGAGTTGCAACCTGTGGTTCAAAGACAGGGTAATACTTTGCGGTGATGCGGCTCATGTATTTCCTCCTTGTAAGTGTGATGTATTGCGTTTGAATGTTATAAGATGTAACAATGTCTAGTTGGCGGCCAAGGAATCACATCAGGGTTTCGTGATGCAATAGGCCTTGCGTGGCGGCTTACGCTAGCAAGTCGGCCTGATTGCGGACCATACGCTCGGCTCTTTCGTGGTTGGTGCAAGGAGCGCAAGCAACAGTTGGAAAAGTCGTTAGCCGCGACAATCGAGAACGGTCAATTCGTTACAGAGTCAAACTGGTTCAAAATTATGGTACGAGACTGGGTGTTAGGATTCATGCAATTGCTTCCTAGCATCAAACATTGGCTTGAGAAAGGCGCACGACGAGACGGCCTGTTTCGGTACCAGCCAGAACAAGATGTTGCCTTCATTGCTCGCTCAGGTGGATTTCTATTTCCTCAAGTTTACTGCAAGAGAATCCGTCCGAGCTCCGCCACGGGGCTGTCTACCGTGCTATTTACAGATGATGTTATCTTCAACTCCAAGACTCGACTCTTTCAGATCGTCATTCTCTTGAGTTCATTAAATCGTTATCATCAGCTGCAAGAGTCTCATGAGAGGCTTAACAAGATCGAATCGCTATCTGGAGGAGAATTGTCTATCGACGAAGCTACTGTTTTTATTCACGATACCGATCTTTCCGAGAATCAAGACTTACACTCAGATAACATTTACCGAATTGCAACTGCAGAGGAATTTGCTTCTACCAAAGAGTTGTGTGCGCTCCGCCCACCGCCTATGCACTATGATGAACTAGGCATGCTTAAAGCTACTCGAGGAATGAGTTACGTTATTTTACGACCGGACAGAGTTGCTTTCGCTGCTTGTAGCTCGTTAGCAGAACTAGAACAAGCTGTAGTAGCGTTGTCAAGGTTAACTAAAGGGGAGGTGATAGTATGATCCAACGGCACCAAAAAAAAATCAAATTCTAACAGATCTATTTTTATGATATCCTTTTGAAACTTTGATTAGCCTCTTATTTTAAGGTTTGATGACACAAAAAGCTGTTAAAGAAAGTGAACATTTTGTATATAATTTGCGATGAACAGTCCAAAAGCCCGGTAACCACGTCTGAGCTTGCTTGTTGATTGCATCGAGAATACGGGAGACGACAATGCAGTTGGTTGCATAAAAATAGTCGAGCAGAAGTGCGTATATAAAGCGATCGCATCCAACGACAAAGATAACCACACTCTTGACTTCCCTTGTTTTTATGAAGGTACTAGACAAGTACTTGACGCATCAGCTTACCCAATATCTCTATATTTTCAGACATGTGCTAATTTGACCAAGTTTAATCTCCGGCTGACAATGAATGACCCCTGCCTCAGTTTGATATGCACATGCTTTGAAAAGATACTTCAAGTTCTTTCTCTGGCACACTAACCAGTATTCGCACCCCTTGAAATGGCCATTCTTCTCCCTGCTGGCTTCGAATCATTTCTTTAAACATCTGAGCGAGCACAAACGTTGGGTGATTCTCGCTCCATCCAAGCATTTCCAGATCATATTTCTCATGATACTCGACCCCTACTCCATGAATAACATCTGGTTTTCTTTGCTTGATCGAACTATCCAACTGAGACATGAGTGTGATATCTTGACGGAGGTCTTCAGAAGAAAGCTGATCCATTTTCCACCTACGGTTCTCTTCCGGATATGTATCTATGAGATACAATACCTTCAAATCTTTCTGCAGGCAACAGGATAGATAGGCAACCTCTTCGTACAT